GCACGCAGTGGCCTGAGACGGGCACCGGCCGGCAGGGGCACCGGTCTCGGCGTGGGGCTGGCGTGCCTCCAGCCGCTGCGGTGGGATGTCGGCTTCATACCGGGGAGATGGGTGAGCAGGTCCCCGAGGCTGGCCCAGTGTCACCCTCACCTCAGACCTCGCGGGCGCTCACCCTGAGGGAGGACGGTTTCCGGCAGGCCTGCCATGTGACACGTGACGTGCAGGCGGTGCCTCCTGCTCCCAGCGTCTCCGGCTGCGGGTGCCGCTGCCTCCACTGGAGCGCAGGGAAGGCACCCAGTGCGGCTGCCCGAGTGGGGCCAGGCCGACCCCTCGCCTCGGCCACGGCCTCGGTGCCGGCTGGGAGCAGTCACACGCCACGTGTCCCGCCTTCCCGAGAAGGGCGGCTTCAGGCACGGCTACTCGTGTGCGCGGGCGGCGGGGCCGGGCTGTGCCCGCAGCCTGGCGCTGCCCCTCTGCCCTTCACTGAGCAGACGGCCCGGTATTGATTCTCTGACCCGTGTCTCCTGCCTCGGCCTCCAGTTTCAGCATAAAATATTCAGCACCGGGAAGCAGCCGGCGCTGTCAGCACCGCACTGCGGCCGCGGCGCTCTGCTGAGGCCCCGGCTCTGGGAGAGGAAGGAGGGGCCCCGAGGCAGGGCGGCGGGGCCAGGCAGGGGCGGGGGCTCTGGATTCGGGGGTCCGTTTGGGGCTGACGGGGAGCAGAAGGAGGGGAAGGAGAGGTCGCAGAGGCCATGCATGCACGGCACTGAGAGTCACTGCAGATTAAAGGACAGCGCTTCGCAGAGACCGCCCACCCACCCTCGCACAGCTGCCCCGAGCCCTGCCTGTGCAGCCCTGCCTGTCCCTCACACAGAGCACGCTGTGTCCGGCCTCATTGCTGAGTCCGGGCACGAGGAGGCGCGGGCACAGCTGTGGCCCCAGCTGGCAGCGACCACAGACCTGCTCTGAGAGCCGGGGCTCGGGCCCGCCGGCTGAGAGGGCAGAGTTATCCACGTGGATGGCCGTTTCCATCCACATCATAACCAAGCCGGCCTCAGCCGTGTCACCGCGGACGTCGGCAGACAGGCTACACTCTGCGTCAGGCGTGACTGCAGGCGGCCGCGTCCGTCCGGAGGCAAAGGTGTGTGTGATCAGCACGCGAGTCGCTGCCCGGAACATCCACGTTCCACACGGCTGTCTGCACACGGCTGCCCTTTCCGTGGGAGCCCGTGAGTCCTGTGTAAGGTTTCCTCACGGGACAAGGCACTGAGACTTAAACAGCCGTCAGCTGCAAAACAGAAGCGAAGAGAGCGAGTGCACTGAGGAGGAGCGTGAGGGAGAGCAGGTGAGCCGCTGGCGCCTCGCCTCCCGTCATCGGTGCCCCAACACCCCACCCCCGGCCCAGGAATGTGTGCTGGGAACTGCGCCAGGTTCGGGCACCGCAGCTTCTGGCAGAGTGGAAAATTCCCGACTTCCTACTGCTCTCTCTACTGTCCAACTCAGCGTGAACGTCCCCAAAATGAAACCGAATCTGTAAAGCCTTTAATGTTTGCCTTTAGCAAAAACATATTTTATAAAATCTATTTAAAAACCCCATAGAACCAAAAGGGGAAGCCACAACTTTAAGGTGATGAAACCAAACTGTGCATCTGGCTTGTGTGCTTTGTGATTCTCTGTAAGATTCCAAGCCGAGAGGAAAACATTCCCCCCCAGAAGTGGCAATTCAATTATATTCTCTGAAAACGGCATTTTCCGTACCGTGCCAAACCAAACCACACGCTTTTTAGGAATCAAATACGGCGTGAACAGCCTTCTGATGACTGTGCAGGCTGCTGGAGTCCAAGCTCGCTGTCTGGAGGGACCCGCCAGAGCGTGGGTCTGGAGCCCAGGGAGCGGGGACGGGCGGAACCCAGACCCCCAGACGAGAGTGAAGGACACGAGAGCACACTCCACGGCAGGGCATGTGCGGGCGCAGCCAGCGAAGAACCACACAACCCCCGGAGGAAGTAACCACAGCGAAGAACCACACAACCCCCCGGAGGAAGTAACGGCGAGCGTGGAGGAGCTGACACAGCACACAGCCTGGGATTGAAGACGCTGAGAAGCCGACATTCCAACCAACGAGCTCCCAGGCGGGTGCTGAGCAGCTGCACCCCTGGGGGAGCATGGCCTCCCACCGCGTGTCCGGAGACAGCCCACAGGGGCTGCGCTGGGACCGGCGTCTCCGTGGACACGCCCTGCATCACGGGGAAGCCACAGCATCGCCACAGCGAGGGACACAACATCCCCCGTGCCCCTGGTTTCACACTTCTCACACCTGATCTGCTCACAGCAGGCGAGTCCAAGACACCGGCCACTCAGCGTCCCTCCAGCCATCCTGGCGAAGGACAGAATGACAGACGGGCTTCTGACCCCTTCTGACCCCGCCTCGGTCTCTTACCTCTGCCCACTCATCTGTCTGCCCTATGACCCAATTCCGCATCTCCAGAGCTGGAGAAGGCCCTGAGCTGCTGACCTCTGGTGCAGGGAGGACAACCCGAAGCCTGCTGACCTCGGGTGCAGGCAGGAAAACACCCTGAGCTGCTGACCTCGGGGTGCAGGCAGGAAAACACCCTGAGCTGCTGACCTCGGGGTGCAGGCAGGAAAACACCCTGAGCTGCTGACCTCGGGTGCAGGCAGGAAAACACCCTGAGCTGCTGACCTCGGGTGCAGGCAGGAAAACACCCGAGCATGCTGAGCTCGGGTGCAGGCAGGAAAACACCCTGAGCTGCTGACCTCGGGTGCAGGCAGGAAAACACCCGAGCATGCTGAGCTCGGGTGCAGGCAGGAAAACACCCTGAGCCTGCTGAGCTCGGGTGCAGGCAGGAAAACACCCTGAGCTGCTGACCTCGGGTGCAGGCAGGAAAACACCCGAGCCTGCTACCTCGGGGTGCAGGCAGGAAAACACCCGAGCCTGCTACCTCGGGGTGCAGGCAGGAAAACACCCTGAGCTGCTGACCTCGGGTGCAGGCAGGAAAACACCCTGAGCCTGCTGAGCTCGGGTGCAGGCAGGAAAACACCCGAGCATGCTGAGCTCAGGGTGCAGGCAGGAAAACACCCTGAGCCTGCTACCTCGGGGTGCAGGCAGGAAAACACCCGAGCATGCTGAGCTCGGTGCAGGCAGGAAAACACCCTGAGCTGCTGAGCTCGGGTGCAGGCAGGAAAACACCCTGAGCCTGCTGACCTCGGGTGCAGGCAGGAAAACACCCGAGCATGCTGAGCTCGGTGCAGGCAGGAAAACACCCGAGCATGCTGAGCTCGGTGCAGGCAGGAAAACACCCGAGCTCACAGGAAAACACCCGAGCATGCTGAGCTCGGTGCAGGCAGGAAAACACCCGAGCATGCTGACCTCGGGTGCAGGCAGGAAAACACCCGAGCATGCTGAGCTCGGCACAGCACACCAGGGCCAGTGCAGCCAGTCTCCTCGCAGCCACGGCAGCCACAGCCCCGTTCTGGCAGGAGAGACCAGGTCAGCTCCCCCGGAGGGAAGCGGTCGGGACCTTGTCTCGTTGTCAGTGGCGTGGCAGCTGCTCTCATTCGCTGCGGGGACGGCCCTGGGCGGCTGCTGGGCTGCGGCTGGGACGCATCCGACACGCGGACAGACAGGGGACGCTGTGACACCAACAGGGCTGTGCCTGCCGAGGACCTCGCTTTCGGCAGCGATTCCACTTGACGTCGGTCACTTAATACGAACCACGTACCGGGAGCTGCCGTGGCCCGGGACTGGGATAGACAGGGACACCACCCGGGCACAGAGCGAGGCGCCCGCCGGCTGGTTCAGCAGCGCCTCCAGACACCCCACCATTCAGGGTCTCAGCCAGCGGTAACCCACCCAGGAATCGGCAGCAGGAGCCCCTTCATTCTGGGTAAAGCCACAATGCCTTCACGCTGCTCACCTGCCTGTGAAGCAGGACAGCAGCGAGGACACCGACTAGGACTCATGTCCTCACGCCGACTGCTGCCCCCACACACCGGCCAGGCGGGACAGAGCCTGCACCGGCACTGGCCCTGACCAGGAGTCCAACCCACAACCATTCACTGCAGGCCAGCAGTCTAACCACTGAACAACACCGGCCTGAGCCTTTGTTCACAATTAATACCGAAGGGACAGATGGGGACCTGTTCACAGAGGGGACAGGGTTCATTAAAGCAAAACCACTCCCACTCACTAGTCATCTCCCCACATCTCCCAATCACTAGTCATCTCGCCAATCTCCTCTCACTAGTCATCTCCCCAATCTCCTCTCACTAGTCCTCTCCCCACATCTCCCACTCACTAGTCATCTCCCCAATCTCCACTCACTAGTCATCTCCTCGCATCTCCACTCACTAGTCATCTCCCCAATCTCCTCTCACTAGTCATCTCCCCAATCTCCACTCACTAGTCATCTCCTCGCATCTCCACTCACTAGTCATCTCCCCAATCTCCACTCACTAGTCATCTCCCCAATCTCCTCTCACTAGTCCTCTCCCTGCATCTCCTCTCACCAGTCATCTCCCCAATCTCCTCTCACTAGTCATCTCCCCAATCTCCTCTCACTAGTCCTCTCCCTGCATCTCCTCTCACTAGTCATCTCCCCAATCTCCACTCACTAGTCATCTCCCTGCATCTCCTCTCACTAGTCATCTCCCCAATCTCCACTCACTAGTCCTCTCCCCGCATCTCCACTCACTAGTCATCTCCCACTCACTAGCCGTGTCCCCACATCTCCCACTCGGCAGCTTCCCCCCACATTCTGCTCTCTCCACAGCGATGTCTGCGTCAGGAACTCCACCAGCTCGTGTCCTGCCCACGTGGCCGAGTGGCCCGGGCATCGCAGCCGTGCTCCGGGCCCCGACCCTCCCGTCAGGGGGACAGGTGTGCCGTCCTCCGCCCTCACCAGTGTTGCTGCTCAAACAGCCACCCGTCTACACAGACCGAGCGGGACCCTCCGGACGGGAGAACTGGCGGGCGGCCTTACCTGGGGCAGTGGGCCGGCCGGCCTGGTGAGGATGCCGCCCACGTAGACCACGTTGGGCAGCGTTGGCCGCGGGAACTCGAGCGCCACGTCGGTGCACAGCATCCACAGGCTGGAGCCCTGCACCAGGTCGTACAGGGAGCGGCCGCGCAGCAGCCCGTGCTTGCGCAGCACCCGCTCGTACTTGGGCAGCACCAGCAGGTGCACGCCCAGCCGCGACACCAGGTACATGCCCGCGTTCCGCATCCGCTGCAGCAGGCCCATGCGGTCCGTGAGCAGCGAGTTGAACTCGGGCACGTAGGCCAGGGGCGCGGGGGCGCCCACCTCGGCCGGGAACCAGAGGCCGGTGGAGAAGACGGCGTAGCGCACGCCCAGCAGGTGCGCGATGGCGAAGCCGCACATGTCGTTGGGGTCGACCAGCAGCAGGTCGAAGCGCTCGCGCCGCAGCGCCCGCAGCAGCGCGCCGTTGCCCAGCATCAGGTCGCAGTTCTGCGTGTAGCGGTCCAGGATGTCGAAGAGCTCCACGGCCGTGAGCCGCCCCGCGAAGATGTTGCGCATCTTGGCCTGCAGGAAGGCGTCGGAGGCGGAGCTATTGAAGACGCCCGGGTAGCGCTGCAGCCGGTAGTGGGGCGAGGGCGCCAGGTCGCGGCCCTCGGACAGCAGGAACACCGTGCGGTGGCCCCGCGCGTGCAGGCCGGCGGCCAGCGCCTTGAAGATGTACATGTGGCTCTCGAACATGATGGGAGGCACCACGACAATCTTGGCGGCATCGGCGGCCCCGAGGGCGCCCCACAGGAGCACCAGGTACGGCAGGCAGGACGTCATGGCTGCAAAGACAGAGCCTGCTGAGCACAGCCTCACCGCGCCGGCCCGGCTCCTGCCCAGGCCCCGCCTCTCTGACCACCTGTGCCTCCTCCACAGGCCCCGCCTCTCTGACCACCTGTGCCTCCTGCCCAGGCCCCGCCTCTCTGACCACCTGTGCCTCCTGCCCAGGCCCCGCCTCTCTCACCACCTGTGCCTCCTGCACAGGCCCCGCCTCTCTCACCACCTGTGCCTCCTGCACAGGCCCCGCCTCTCTCACCACCTGTGCCTCCTGCACAGGCCCCGCCTCTCTCACCACCTGTGCCTCCTGCACAGGCCCCGCCTCTCTCACCACCTGTGCCTCCTGCACAGGCCCCGCCTCTCTCACCACCTGTGCCTCCTGCACAGGCCCCGCCTCTCTCACCACCTGTGCCTCCTGCACAGGCCCCGCCTCTCTCACCACCTGTGCCTCCTGCACAGGCCCCGCCTCTCTCACCACCTGTGCCTCCTGCACAGGCCCCGCCTCTCTCACCACCTGTGCCTCCTGCCCAGGCCCCGCCTCTCTCACCACCTGTGCCTCCTGCCCAGGCCCCGCCTCTCTCACCACCTGTGCCTCCTGCCCAGGCCCCGCCTCTCTCACCACCTGTGCCTCCTGCACAGGCCCCGCCTCTCTCACCACCTGTGCCTCCTGCACAGGCCCCGCCTCTCTCACCACCTGTGCCTCCTGCACAGGCCCCGCCTCTCTCACCACCTGTGCCTCCTGCACAGGCCCCGCCTCTCTCACCACCTGTGCCTCCTGCACAGGCCCCGCCTCTCTGACTACCTGTGCCTCCTGCACAGGCCCCGCCTCTCTGACCACCTGTGCCTCCTGCACAGGCCCCGCCTCTCTCACCACCTGTGCCTCCTGCACAGGCCCCGCCTCTCTGACCACAGTGAGGGGCCCGCTGTGACCCTGAGACCTCCTGAGTGACATGGCCCTGGGAGCTCTGTCGTCTTTTCATTTAACCCTTCCAGCTCCGCAGCCACAGCATCCCCAGCTACAACCTGGCAAACACCGCTTCACCGACGGCTTCAGGCCGAGTCTGACCGGGACCATCTCCCCACAGTGCCTTCTGCCTTGGCCCGGACACCCCACACCCCGAGACGCCCTCAGGATTATCTGGGCAGGACGGGGGGGTGGGGGAGGTCGGGGATTGCCCAGTCTGTCCGGGCCCTGCAGGGCGGCCGGGAGGACGCCTGTCCCACACGCGCTGTGGGTGCCCCAGCTCGGGGCTGGCCACCCTCCTGCCCTCCATGGGGACAGACAAGGCACAGCACTGAATCATCCGCTGGCACCATGACAAGGGACGAACTGCCTCCCCCCATGCTACCCGCCTTCACGGGAGCTAACACAGCACAAGCCATCGGCACCCAAACAGACAAGAGGTTCCGGCAAGAACTTGGCAGAAAACCGGGCACTTTCACAGACGCGCCCCCGGGCCCGGCCCTCCCATCAGGGCACAGGTGTGCCCGGTCCTACAGCAGACACTGCCGCCACCCACAGGAACCTGTTCTCCCTCTGATCGCCCAGGAACCCATCTGTGCCAAACCCACCACCCACAACGCAGTTCTGACGACCATACCTTCTCAACATCCAAACACTGCAAGCAACCTACAAAAAAGAGAAGAGAGGTCACTAGCAGGCAACGGGGAGGCTAAACGTTCCATTTCCAGCGCTCCCCTCCCCTCCAATGGCTGGCACCCTGGCATCCAGCGTGAGCGGACGCAGAGCGTGGGCTTGGGCGGTGAGGGCCACGGACACAGGCTGTGGACACGATGCTGAAACACATTTTTGCAGAAATCTCGCTCCGGGAATTCAGAACGTGTGGACTTGGGGTCCCTAATGTTTTCTTCCCTGGAAGTGGCCAGACAAGAGCCGGCCCCCGAGGCTGCCTGGGACCGCGGCTCGGCCGAGGCTCGACGTGGCTCGGGACGTGGCCCGGGGCGTGGCCTGACACCGTGGCACCTCCCTCCCTCACGGCCCGGGACGTCGGAACCCCTTCACTGCCACGGACAGGTCCTCGCCGCCTCTGTTTGCGTAAAGCCCACCCCGTCCAGGCACCTGCTTTTCAAACTGTCACTCGCTGTGTCCAAACAGCTGGGAACAAACCACTTCTCATCGCGGAGGCCGTGGCCGGGCCGTCCGGAAGAGGCTCCGTGAACCTCATCTATCCCGTCTCTTCTATTTCACACCGTCTTTCTGTCGTGGCTACGAGGTAAAGCCAGCCCCACAGCGTGGCCGTGGTTGGAGCTGGTTCTGAGAGGGAGGAGGACAGACGGACGGGAGTGGCCATGACCTCACAGTCCCGGAGGAGGCTGCTGCACCCACATGGCCTGAGGACTGAAGTTTCCATCGTATGTCACGCAGCCACCGTGGCCGGCGCTGCTGCCCTGGAATGACGTTTAAAAGGGCGCGGAGCCCGGCGGGCAGGGTTCCGTGGCTGAGTCATCCTGCGAACCAGGAGGTCACAGCTCAGTCCTGGTCAGGGTTCACCCCAGGGTGCAGGCTCGATCCTCAGTGCGGGGCGTGCGGGAGGCAGCCGATCCCCGATTCCCTCTCACCACGGATGTTTCTGCCTCTCTATCTCCCACCTCTCTGAAATCAACGTTTCTTTTTTAAAAGGCACTGTGGCCCATCTAGAGAGCGGAGCATTACTCAGAGCTGAACAGAAATGAGCTGTGAAGCCGCGGAGACGTGGAGGGACTTCACCGGACATTCCCAATGACAGGTGCCAGCACCGCGCATCCCAATCTGGACGGGGGCAAGTACAAAGCTCGTGTCACCATCTCTCCGAAAGCACCGTGAGGGCCCCCCACAGGTGCCGCGCGCTCTGGGCCCCCGAGGGGCAGCCTCCCTGTGCCCTCAGGGCCTCCCAACACAGAAGCTCCGTGCGTGCTGTTCCCCCTGCCAGCCACGCTCGTCCTCGCCCCGCGGCTGCACTCAGACCCTGCCCCAGGACGGCACTACAGCCTCCAGCGCGGCCCTCCCGGGCCCTCAGCAGGACAGTGCGACTCACTGACGAGATCTATTTTCCCCAAGTTCCCTGTGGCAGTTCATTTCCACCCGCCAGAGCGCCCCCGAGGGTGTGGCCTTCCACCAGGAGTGCAGGGCGGAGGGCGGGGCTGAGGACGGACGCACCCGGGACCGCACCCCCAGGCGACCAGGCGCAGTTTCTCTCATGGAATTGGCCAGGAGGGGGCTTTCATGACAACACGCATCCTCGCAAGGGCACGGCGGGCACGTAAGCCCTGGGAACGGTGAGGTGGCAGGAATGTTCTGAAAAGCGAGCAGCAGGTCGCTGTATGCCGACGAAGGGACTCAGCCAGAGTCGCCGCCTGTGTGCGTGGGGATGTCCTGCCTCCGGGCCCAGCAGCGGAGAGCCAGCCACCGCAGGAGAAGACCACGCAAACCCCAGTGAATGTCACGTTCGCCCCATCCAGCAGAGCAAAACTCGAGGGTGCCTTTCTCTCAGAGGTGCTCGCAGCGAGTACCGAGGGACACTGAGACCCAAGAACCTCATAAGGCGGGGCTGATGGGAAGCCAAGGCTGTAGGCTCCACCCTGAAACTCCACCCCTTCCAAGCTGAGCACAGAGCTTTTGCAATTTTTCAAGTCTAGTCGAATAAGGCTGTCTCCTGGCATGGATACAGCTGATCCTCACAGCCAATTGGCCTGGACGTCAACTCCTCCCACTGATACCAACAACAATCAAGACTTAACTATAACAAGGCTGTACACACACTCCACAAAGGGGTGCACCAAGAGTGTCCATCCCAGGTAACTGGGGAGGCCGAGCCACTGGCCCATATAGGACACTTAGCACACAAAGCCACCCTACCAACTCAGGGAAGCAGCGAAAATAAAAAAACGAGGAAACAGATCTTAAACGAAAGAAATGGAGGAGAACAAAGGACTGGATATAGAGTTCAAAACCATGGTTATAAGGTTTTTCAATAATTTCTAGAAAAGACAGATAAATTTAGCAGACCCTAAAGCACATGTGTCAAACACAAGGCCCGCGGGCCAAATCCGTCCCGCCAGGCCTTGCAATGTGGCCCGCACCGCGCTGTCATCACTGCACTCCGCTGCGTTTCCATCACAATGACAGTTTATGACTGTTCAGTAAACCATTCGGCCCGCGATTTAGGCTGGATTTTAGATTTTGGCCCCTTCTCTGATTGAGTTCGACACCCCTACCCTAAAGGATATGAGAGAATATAGAAAAGGACCAACTAGAAATTAAACATACACTGACTGAAATAAAAAATATTATACAGACACCCAACAGCAAACTAGAGGAATGCAAGAATCAAGTCAAATATTTAAAATACAAAGAAGCAAAAATTACTCAACCAGAAAAGCTAAAAGAAAAACGAATCCAAAAATTTGAAGATAGTGTAAGAAGCCTCTGGGACAACTTCAAGCGTACCAACATCAGAATTATGTGGGTGCCAGAAGAAGAGAGAGAACAAGATATGAAAACCTAGTTGAAGAAATAATGACTGGAAACTCCCCCCACCTGGTGAAAGAAATAGACATACAAATCCAGGAAGCGCACAGAGCCCCAAACAAAAGGAATCCAAAGAGGACCACACCAAGACACATCATAATTAAAATTCCAAGAGCAAAAGACAAAGAGAGGATATTAAAAGCAGCAAAAGAAAAACAGTTAATTACCTACAAGGGAACACCCATACGATTGTCAGCTGATTTGTCAACAGAAACTAGCAGGCCAGACAGGAGTGGCAAGAAATAGTAAAGTGATGAATAGCAAGAACCTACAACCAAGAGTACTCTACCCAGCCAAGCTGACATTTAGAATTGAAAGTCAGCTAAAGAGCTTCACAAATAAGAAAAAGCTAAAGGAGTTCATCAATACCAAACCAATATTATATGAAATGCTGAAGGGTATTCTTTAAGAAGAGGAGGAAGAAGTAAAAGGTAAAGATAAAAATTATGAACAACAAATACATTTCTATTAACAAATGAATCAAAATATCAAATGAATTAAAAATCTGATGAACAGAATAAACTGGTGAATATAATAAAATCAGGGGCATAGAAAGGGAGTGGACTGACAACTCTCAGGGGGAAAGGGATATGGGGGTGCGGGAAGAGACTGGACAAAAATCGCACACCTGTGGATGAGGACAGTGGGGGGAGGGGGTAAGGGAAGAGGGTGGGATGGGAACCAGGTGGAGGGGAGCTATGGGGGGACAAAGAGGAACAACTGTAATAATCTGAACAATAAAGATTTACTGAATTAAAAACAAACAGTGTTTGCAGGAAATGATGATAAACCTATGAGAACACAGGATGATCAGATGACAACTAAGACATGAAGCCATGTGAGGTGACCGGCAGGGGTGGCAGGTTTCCTTTTCCCACCGATGTCCTTCCACAGCCCTGAGGTTTCCCACCAAAACCAATCCCACCACACCCGGCTTCCACATGACCACACCTCCCCTCAGCGTGCACCCCAGCGCAGGCCCGGAGCAGAGGGCCGGGGGCTGGGCTCGGGGACAGCTGGGAGGGCTGCCTGGTGCCGGGACCGGGACCCCCCGCCAGGCCACCTCCACTGCCAGCCTGTCTTCTTCCTCTTTAACCAACGAGCTGGGATCCCGCAGCCCTCCCCGGAGGCGTAGGGGCAGGGCAGGAAGGAGGCTGGTCCGGGGCATCTCGCCTTCCCTGCCCCCACACCAGCGGGTGCAGGCCAGGTGGCAGGGAGGAGCCGGGCTCTGCGAGCCGCACGCGGAGGCACCAGGCGCGGCGCAGGCCCCCCGCCCCTCCCGGCCGAGCTCTGGCACGGGCGGCCACACCCCTGCGTGCTGGTCAGTGGCCAGGACGGAAGCCCAGGAGGCGTGGGAGTCCCCCTGGGAGGTCCGCACTCCGCTGGCAAGGCGAGGAGGACGGGTAATGATTAACGCCCACAGGAGCGGACAAAGACAGCGCCCCGGTCCCCGGCCCCGGCAGGGTGACGCAGCCACCCACCGGAGACCGCCGCTCTGCCCCCTCCACCCTCCGTGCCCAGAGGAGGGCAGGCCGCCGGCTCGACCCACAGCCAGGCCCGGGTCCCGCTCAGAGCCCCGCTGCAGACTGAACCGGCATCCCTCACCAGCCGCTGAGCGCAGGGACCTCTGAGCCCACGGAAAAGGGGCCCCGTGCGGGGAGCGCGTGGGGAGCTAGATCATCTGGAACATTCCAGCGGGAGGCACAGGTGAGGAAGGTGCTCAGACCCCGCCTCGCCGCTGGCCCCTCACCACGCGGTGCCTCTGAACACCCAGACCCGGGGTGCTGGGCGGCAGCCGTGGCCTCGCACAGACACGCCCCCGGGACACGCTGGACACGGCAGAGAGCAGGCCCCTTCCAAAGCTGCCGCCAGGAGATGCAGGCACAGCTGCCGTCACTCTGCCTTTCCAGACGCGGGGTTTGTACCAGAGTCAGGGGAACAGACCATGGAGGTGTCCCACGGCCCTCCAGCCTGACCCTGACCTGTCCCTCCCGAGCACGGGGCTCACACACAGCACAGCTCCACCCCGCAGCCCCGGAGCAGGGCTCCGGACCGGCTGCCGCCCCGGTGCCGCCCCCAATGCCACCGGGGGCCGCCTGGGGCCGCCGAGCCAGCGAACCGACGTCGTCCAGCCCAGACAACCTGCAGGCCGCGGTGCAGGT